ATACCGAGGACCCTCCACAAGCACTGTCTCTCAATCCTGCTTTTCAGTTATTAATTACGACATCATATGTTCTGTTGACTAAGTCTGTGTGGAGTGAGTGACAGGCAAATTGAAGCACAGCCCGGCAAGAATTGCCCCAACAGAAAAACTGTCAATCCAGACGATTTAATGCATTCCCTTACATTCGGGCAGAGAATCAGATTCCATCTCCACTGACATCCTCAACATCGAAGAAAATCTGTTCGCTGACGTTTTCTTTTTAAGAGCTCGGGAGTAGATGCTCCTAGAACGGCTCATCGGATACGAAGAAGTGTTCTCCACATATCATCGCAACTACTCTTATTGGGCCTGTCACCCAGGCCTTTCTCGACACAAAATACTGATTATTCCCAATAAAAGCGTGGCGGTTATTGGTATTATTGGGCCCATAGATGGGGCACGCCGGTTAATATTTGGCCGGGAGGCAGGACTCTTTAGTCCTCTTTAATGAATCTCAAAAACGAATTCTTTGAGCCGATATCCTGCTCGAACAGAGCTCAAGTATCTGCGAGGACGACCTTACGGGCCGCACACCTGCTGGGGAGAATACTGCTCTCCTTTCAAAAGAGTTCCTTTACACCATCTACTAAAATTGATGAGTTTTCGCGCCTCAATGCTTCCTCTTAGAGTTTTCGTCAATACATGCTTCTTTTATTATTGGAAATTAATTTAGTTTTTGTCGAGCTAAGTGTCGCCGCAAGAAAGGGGGAATTATCAAAGTAGCTTGAAGTATGAGATCCCTAAGATAATCGTGAATGGAAAGCACTTAAGGTATTACGGCTATCCAGCCTGTAAACAAAGAGAGATGGGTGGTTCTCATATGAAACTCTGAATGCACTGGTATGCAGGATTGAGCACCATTGAGCCTCAAAACGCTAGGACAACATAACCAGAATGCATCGTGCAATATCCCGCTTTATTAGATGGGAAATGTCCATGGGTATTGTTCCCCACGGTAATAAATAAATTGAAATAAGAGTATGAAAACATTTTGAATTGTATTCTTCTGAATAGGGTTAATTAAATGAAAATAATGTTTCTCGCATTAATGTTAATGTGTTTTAATATTGTTTGTGTATGTTGAAACCTCAAATAAATCTATTGTGATGAAGCTCCTTGTCTATGGGATGAAGAGAATCGTTTAATGGGCAGGATGTTTAGGTGCTGTAGGGCTAACAAGGTATTAAACACCATAACAGTCAGCTAAATTAAATATTGCATTATGAATTCATGAAAATCACCTATTTCTTATTGTCGGAATGTGTTGGTGTGTTTACGTTGAATTTGTATGCAGCATTGTTTAGTTTATAATTGATGCTTGGAACAAATGATTTCAACAGATTTTGATATTTTGATAATCAATGATTGATTATTTATTTAGACGTTTAGCGGCATGGTCTTACAAATCTTTGTCGCCCTTCTTTTGAACAAGTTTTGTTTATTGTTTGGGCAAGTTATCGAAATGATAATTTATTAATTAAAGAAAATGGTTGCTTTCACTCACAATTTTGTTTCTCAACTTGATGTGTGTCATTAAAGCCTCATTAAAGCCAAGATTCTTACTGCAGAATTTAGACATGATAATATTGTGAATGCTGACAAACAAAAATGTTATCAGTCCTCGTGAGTCTGTGAAAGTTTGTCGATAATCATTTGATGTTATGTGTCATCGTTCCTGTACACCGTGTCATCCGCTGGATCTTACATTTCAATCTTTAGCCAAAATTAATTTCTTAAATTTAAATTTACATTTCAATCTTTGGCCAAAATTAATTTCTTAAATTTAAATTTACATTTCAATCTTTGGCCAAAATTAATTTCTTAAATTTAAATTTACATTTCAATCTTTGGCTGAACTTTATTTCATAAATCTAAACTCTTGTTCAGATTTTTGTGATCAAAATCAAGATGCTGAAGCCATTTTTCAATCAAACAGCTGTATGGATTTTCTTTTTCTTTTTTTACAAGGGTTTAAATGAATGGTTCTGGGACCTGTTCCAGAAAGTGATCGTAGCACTAAGGTTATCGTAGCTCCCATGCTTTAACATATACTTATGACTGTTGTAGCGCTACGATCAGTTTGTGACACAGGGCCCTTGTCTCAGGTTCATGGGGTGGTAGGGGGCACGGGTGGCCCAGTAGTCTAAGGCACCTGATTCGCTGTGCAGAGTTGCGTCCCTTGGGCATGCCAGAAACCTATGATTGTGGGTTCGAATCCTGGTTTGCCCCAATTATGTTTCTAGGTTTGTCAGCACCATACCAGTGCTCGTGGGTTTCACCGAAGTGGTAAACGTCTGAGACCTTCATTACTTCGGGCTTTCCTCCCACATTAAGCTGATATAACTGGAATAATGTTAAAAGCGGTGTTAAACCTAACTCACTCACTCATGGGGTGGTGGGGTAGCCCAGTGGGTAAAGCGTTAACTCTATATGCCGAAGCCCTTTGTTCAAATCCCCACATGGGTACAATGTATGAAGCCCATTTCTGGTGTCCCCCACTGGGATATTGCTGGAATATTTCCTAAAAGCAGTGTAAAACAATACTCACTGACTGACTCAGGGTCCTGTATAACTTGTATGTTAGTACACGGAACTAGGATCATTGGGTTGGCTTGGGGTTTTCTGTGTAAGTCAGTTTCTGTGTCAAGTAGACGTGGGAGGAAGGTCCGAACTGATGCAGGTCGTCTGCCACCTCGAAACTCACGAGCACGGATATGATGCTGACAAACCTAGTAACATTATCAGGACGAATCGAGATTCGAACCAATATTCATGTTTCTTCATGCCTTTGTGAATAAACTTTACTGATTACATTAGTGACATCATTCTTGTGTTTATGCAGAGATATCTGAAATCAGCAAGTGCTCATCCAGAGGCATGGCGGCCAGAGGCACGGAGGCGGTCTGACCGAATCTAGACCGCCTCCCGTGGTCTAGTGGTAGAGCATCCACCCGTAAAGCGGAAGGTCCGGGTTTGATCCCCGGCCGCGTCATACCAAAAGACGTTAAAAGATGGTACTTGTTGTTACTCTGTCTGGCGCTCGGCATTTAGGGGCTAAAACAAGGACTGGTTGGCTCGGAGTCAGTATACTGTGTCTGAGTGGGGTATTCATGTTAAACTGCGGCATGGTATCTCAGTGCGTTAGCACTATAAATCAGCATCAGTCGGGACTGGTACAAGCAGCCACACAAACACGCACACGTACATGCACATCGCTATATAAGTGCAATAATCTTGGACGTAGCATTAAACCCTATTTCACCTCACCTCACATCTGACCAAATCTCTGAGAAGTGCCCTATAATCACTCTGTTTTATGGTCTTCCTTGTTTTTGTATTCCTGTCTTTGTGGTGATCCTTTGTCTGTGACCACTATACTGATGATCCTAGTTTTCATACAAAGTATTAAACATCCATGACATGCTTTGACATAGACTGTCCTCCAAACTCAGACTGATGAAATATTGCATTATTTTTCACATGCCCTAACTACATATTGTAAGAAATGATTCGTTGTTCTATTTGAAAGGTTACAGATTAAATTCAATGCTTTCTGGGAATGGAGTGAGTGAGTGTATTCCAGAAATATCACGGCGGGGGACACCAGAAATGGGCTTCACACATTGTACCCATGTCGGGAATCGAACCCGGGTCTTCGGCATGACGAGCGAATGCTTTAACCACTAGGCTACCCGACCGCCCCTTATGGGAATGGAAATGAAACAAAATCTGTCAATTCCGATATTTTCAATTCGGTCCATATGTACATCCTACTTTCTGGTAGATTTGAACAGATGTAATAACTTAAGATTGTATTCATCCTTTAAGACAAGTGCTAAGTATTAAGTAGTTAATGACTTGTTTTTCTTATAATTGAACACCTTTTCTTCAACTGCACCATCTGTTGACCACTCCCTTTTGTTCTGTTTTAATGTGAGGCAGTCGGGTAGCCTAGTGGTTAAAGCGTTCGCTCGTCACGCCGAAGACCCGGGTTCGATTCCCGACATGGGTACAATGTGTGAAGCCCATTTCTGGTGTCCACTGCCGTGATAGTGCTGGAATATTGCTCAAAGTGGTGTAAAACCATACTCACTCACTCTGTTTTAATGTATGTATTGACATAAGTCAGATGACTTGTTTACCGATCCTGATTGGATAAAAATATGTTTAAGTAATATAATGCCTCCATGGGTTTGTGGTTAGAGCGTGTGCCCGGTGAGTGGAAGGTTCGGGGTTCGATCCCCGGCCGCGTCATACCAAAGAACTTTAAAAGATGGTGCTTGTTGTTACCCTGTCTGGTGCTTGGCATTAAGGGGCAAGAACAAGGACTGGTCGGCTCGGAGTCAGTATACTGTGTCTGAGTGAGGTATTCATGTTAAATTGCGGCATGTCAGTGTGCTCGCACTATAATTCGGCATCAGTCCGGACTAGTACAAGCAGCCACACAACACATGTGCAATGTCACTTCTTGTAGAGACTTGCAAAGAGACCTGCACGCACATGTATGCAAGTTACGATAATCTTGAACGCGAAGTTAAACCCCATTTCACCTCATCTGTGAGGAAACAGAAGTGTTTCAAGGTTGTGTCAAAGCCATCTAACTCTATCTGATTTGTTTCCTGGCCAGCTTCGGGCATGGGTGGCCTAGTTGTCTTAGGCGCAGCAATTCAGATTGCAGAGTTGCGTCCCTTGGGCACGCCAGAAACCTATGATTGTGGGTTCGAATCCTGGTTCGCCCTGATTATGTTTCTAGGTTTGTCAGCACCATACCCGTGCTCGTGGGTTTTACCAAAGTGGTACACGTCTGAGACCTTCATCACTTCGGGCTTTCCTCCCACATTAAGCTGACACGCCGCGATATAACTGTAATACTGTTAAAAGCGGGAGCAAGAGTTACTCAAATCCACTGTGGAAGTGTCATGTTCAACTTGATCGACAACTTCATTTGGAATATTTTTCAG